GGGCACAGCTTATTTGCATAACTAAAATACCTGGGGCCTCATGTACGAAGACTTGCGTGGAAATCTTACTAAAACATTGCGTACGCACAAAGCTGTAAATGTGCTGTAAATGTGCTGAAAAAAATTCAGATGTATGAAACACTGCGTACGCCGAATCTCACGCATATTCTTTTGTACATCTGAATGAACGTGAAACTGAGCGCAACATGCACGAGCACAAACCCCCCCCCTGCCTCCTCCCCCGTATGAATATGCTAATGACTATGCTAATGGAAAAACCCAACGAAAAAGCAATGGCAAAAGCAAGCAAAAAGAGAAACTTTGAACAGAATGTGAATTGGAGGTGCTGCTTTCGGAGGTAGACCGGAGAAAAGCGGTGTTATTTGCAAGTGTGTTCTCCGGAATTAACAACAAAAGAAAAAAATAGAGTGGGAGAGTTTAGCTGATGCGGTCAACACAGTTGGGTCTGAACATCGCACTGCGTGCATTAAAAAAAAAGAAATAGTGTGATTTATATCTGTAAATTGTTGCAGGACGTTTACTAGTCTCAGTGGCGCTACTCGTAGGACGCATGTAATCATGAATTGATACGTTCGAGCATGAACTCGGCTCGAATCCAGCGTCTGATGAACTCTTTCTTGTTTTTTCCCCCGCTACATATCAGATTTTGCCAACTATTTATCACGAGAAGGACAAGTAGGAATCATCAATAAGTTTATATCAATAAGCATCATATTTTATTTGCACATTTATTGAATGGAAATGTTTCTGATTCACGCATGCAAATTCATCTTCAGATCTTCAGTCTTTATAGCAATGTGCGTGCGGTAGATTGCTCAGATTACATTGGGAAAACAGGCGACCGCTGCAAATTGTGCTTTAATGTTTAGCTGGTCAAATGTATGGTATGGAAACCTTATATACCTGCTGAACCCGTCTCATACAGCTGCCATTGCAAGGCTCAGACACTTTGTAGAGAGGAATTTAACACAACTGTCTGTAGGAGTCGCCAATGGAAATAAAACAGACACGCACAAAAAATGTGCGTACGCCTGCCAGAAAGCTGCCGTGAAGCTGCGCACATTCCCACGTTCAGTTCATTGTTAGTAAATCCAAACATGAGCGATTCTGAGCGTGAAACCTGGCGTATGCAAAGTTTTTGTGCGTACGCAGCGTTGATACATGAGGCCCCAGGACTTTAGTGTTTGGCGGTCTCTCTCTCTTTGCGACTTTCTTCCGATGTGCTGGAAGTCTTTTGGTGTCCTGTTTTGATGCGTGGAGTTTGCAATACAGGTCGGAGGAACGTGATCCCAACTTTAAACTAAGTTTACTTTGCCAGAAAAATAAGAAAATGTGGCTGGAAGGACCACACGGCACAGAAAAGCCGTTCGCCCCCTAAAAGGGGCGACCTCTTGGGAAGTTCTTTTCGGACATTCTGCTTAGAGTTTGGGGAGGGGCCAGCTTTTAAGCGTGGGCTCCGTTACATGCCCTCTCAACATACTCGACCAATGATTTCAGGGCAGAGTTTGAGCGCGAAACTTCTCTTTGTCTCTAGGCTGCTCGTATGCAAATTTAGAGTCCTCCCGCAGCCTGAGGATGGTCTTTAATTCGGGGCATTAAAGAATGCATGCCGTACAAGTTATTATCATGCTCTATGCATCATGTGTTGTAATATGTCAAGGGGAGTCCAACGACACCAAAAATGGCTTTTAAAAGTACATCAACATAATTCCCACATCCTTACATCATTGATGCTTTTAATGGCTCGATTCCACTGACTGGTACAGTACGGTTCGGTACGGGTCACCTTTATCAGGCTTGCGTTTCCACTATAAAGGGTACCCTTTTGGTGGGCATGGTATAAGACAGAAAGTTTCAGTTGCATCATTGTTGCTCGAGAAAATGTCTGAAAAGCTGCACCGGTCGTTCACAAACCATATTAAAAGCACTTCTCAGAAAACAGACGCTTTACACACATAAATACTTCTGTATAAATGTTTATTACTAACTTTTCAATAAACAGGAGTTGATTATAACTTCAGATCAATGACAGTGCAAAATAGCCTACTGTAACTACAGTATATAACTATGTACTGTAATTATATAAAATAAATAAATAAATAAATGAACATATATGAACACATACAGCCCCTTACAGTCTCCGATATGTTACCAACTACAGAAAAACTACACACATACATTTCGTCCTTAATTAGGTTCAAAATAACACAAAGTATAGCCTACAGTCAGTAAAAACCTCTCATCTGTGACTGCAATCTTCAGCAGCACATGTCATGTAGCCTCTGTTAGAGAGTAATTCCATCATTCCCAGTTCATATTAGTCCAAAGGGTGATGATAATAATTAAAACAAGGCAGTTTGCCAATGGGACCCACATCTCAAAGGACCTTTCCTGGTCCACCAACACCTCCAGCCTGATCAAGAAGGCTCACCAGCGCCTATTCTTCTTAAGGCAACTGAAAAAGAACCAGCTTTCATCAACCGTCTTGGTGAACTTCTACCGCTGCACAATAGAGAGCATCCTGACAAACTGTGTCACAGTCTGGTATGGAAGCTGCTCTGTTGCTGAGCGTAAGGCACTGCAGCGGGTGGTGAAAACTGCCTAACGCATCACAGGGACCATACTGCCAGCCATAGAGGACATCCAGAAGAAACACTGTTTGCGCCGAGCACGCAGTATTCTGAAGGACACCTTTCACCCCGCTCACAGACAGTTTTCTCTCCTGCCCTCCAGCAGGCGCTTCAGGCTCCCCCGGACAAAAACCAGCAGACTGAGGAACAGCTTTTTCCCCAGAGCTGTCTCCCTCCTGAACTCTGCCCCACACTGACTCTTTTGCCCCCCCCCAATACACCCCCCACTCTCCTCTAACTTAAACTCCTCACAATAAATGCACTGTTTAACATTTGCACGTTTAAAATTTGCACATTCACTGCACCACATTGAACTGTTTACTTATTGAACTGTACATACCGACTGCATATAGGCATTTGTAATTATGTACACACCCACCATACATATACACTTGTAATCATGCTTATTTATCTGCATACTACTGATTATTAATAGCAACCTGTACATATATTCATATATTGTAACATATACACTTGTAATCATGTTCATCTATCCCTGTACACATATTCATATATTGTAACATACCCAGGTGAAAAAAAGTGCTCTTAAATATATTACAAATGTACTTGAAATGTAGATAGTATGTTTAAAGCACAATTAGCACAAAAACCATACTTGCTTAAAGTGCATTCTAAATGTGCTGGTTTGCATTTTAATGTATTTATTATAAAGTATACTACAAGTACATTGGTAGAAGATATGTTTAATTGCACTTTTTAAAAATACGCTAGAACTCAAGTATACTACTTATGCATTTTAATGTATTTACAGAGAACACACTAATTTTATTCTTTCTTAAAGTATGTTTTATGTGTACTTTGTATAAGAACATTGTGAAATGGTGCCAATTTGAGTGTGTTTAAGGTATATGCATGTTTTTTTTAATTGTTTTAGACATAATGAAACATTTTTTTAAATAATGCAAATGAGCATGTGCTTCAGCCTGTATTTCAAAATATGTATGTTTTTTTTTTAAATATATTTTGTTAAAGTATAATAATTCACTCAAACCATGAATATAACGTATTTTTCTAAAATGAAGATATATTTAAGTATTTAAGATATTTGGTCAAGTTTATTAAGTCAAACCTACATGCATTATAAAAGTAAAATATGAAAATGTAGCACTTCTTAATATATTAAGCTATTTTTGTTTAACAGCGAAACTACAATATATATGTAGTTATGTGTGTACTTGGAAAAATAAATAACCTTTTTTTTGCACTACAAATATATTTACATTGCTCAAAAAATATGTTTGCCAAAAATACTCTTAAAGCAATATAATTTCATATTACACCTTCCAATACTTCGTAGTGCTCACTATACAGTCAGTTTAAAATAATCCACTTTGAAAACCCAGATTTACAAAAGGTACACCTATAACAAAACAAATTACAAAAAAATAAAACAACTGATAAAAGTTTCAGTTACATACGTCCCTGCTGAAAAATCCAGCTTAAACCAGCCTAGGCTGGTTGGCTGGTTTTGACCAGGCTGGTTTTAGAGGGGTTTTGGCCATTTCCTGGCTGGTTTCCAGCCATTTCCAGTCTGGTCTTAGCTGGTCAGGCCTGAAAATGACCAGCTAAATCCAGCTAAAACCAGCTTGACCAGCCTGGTTTAAGCTGGACATAGCTGGTTTTGGCTGGGCTCCCAGCCTGGCTAAGCTGGTCAAGCTGATTTTAGCTGGTCATCTCCCAGCCTGACCAGCTAAGACTAGGCTGGAAATGACTGGAAACCAGCCTGGAAATGGCCAAAACCCCTCTAAAACCAGCCTGGTCAACCAGCTAAAACCAGCCAACCTGCCTAGGCTGGTTTAAGCTGTTTTTTTCAGCAGGGGCATATGTCATAAACATCTATAATTAAAAGCTCAATGGCTAAAATAAAATATAAAAAATCACTCCACAAAAGGATGTACATTTGCAAATCACTAGTTAAAGCATTTTGAATAAATGACTTCAGTCTCTTTCGATATTATGTGGCAAAGGTATGTGACATACATTTTCTCTGTAAGGTCTACCAGAATGTTGCGTTTAATTCTGTTTGACCAATCAGAGCCAAGCTTTTTAAATCGAAACATAAAATTGTCCAATCCCACGCAGCCATAGAAAGGTAAGCTTATTGAGCGCGAGCAACAAGTTCATATTTGCCGATAACAGGAGGCAGATCGTTTCCGAGGTTTCCGAAATTTTTATTGTTTTATTTCCCAGACTCAAATCTTGTAAAGGTAGACAACACCGATATAATTACACAAAAACATTGACGACAAGGAAAACCTGGTCAGATCGCGCGAACAACTGGACTGTGAAGAGGATTACGTTAGTCAAAGCAGGCACGGGGAACAAAATAACTGGCAGCGAAAATACTTCTTGGTGGTAAGTTTATTCCTAAGTTAACTAACTTATGTTGTTCACTTTGGCTTTAGAAAATATTTTTCAACGTGGATAGTACATAAGTGTGTTTTCCCTTCAGCATATAACGATGGTTACTCAATAAGGAACAACTTTTTCCAACGTATTTGCAGACTGAACGATGGTTAACGTTATTACAGTGTGCTGACCTTGTAACGTGCTTGTGATTCGATCTAATACAGTATAATGAATAGCTCACTCCAAACAAATTCTGGATAAGCATTTAATATAGACAGCTGTTTTAATGGATACAATATTAAATTATAAAAAGCTGATTAATGGAATTTTATTTTCTCTTTTTTTGCAAACTAATTCAATGTGTTTTTTTACTAGTGTATATTACTATATGAACTTCTAACTTCTCCTTATCATTAACTTCCATTGTTTGGACAAATTTATAGTATGAATATAATAAATATATCTACTTATAAGCATTGTGCTTATAAGAATGATTTACTGTGTGTGTGTGTATACATACATACATATATAGCATAATCCTTATTTTACTACTTTTTAATTTTTAATAAAACCTATTGTATGTTGGTTTATTTTCATACAATTTAAACTGACAACTGTACTGCTTTTCTTTGATTTATTTATGTCTAACTGCAGATGTGTACAAAGATTTAATTGTGAAAAAGGGATGATTTCAAGAAGAGAGAAGACATACGGATGACCAGTAAAGGAACAAAGCAAAAAAATAAATAAAAAATGGCTGTTAAGGTATGTGATGATCTTACTATTCCAAATTGCTGTACTGCAGTGGTGGAAAGAGTACTAAAAAATATACTGTGCAAGAAAAAAATTATCTGTTGTAAATACTACTAAGGTATAAGTAAAAAGCAGCACTTTTAAAAGTATTAATAGTGCTGTATTACACTGTGAAATATACTCCACCTTATACACTGCAGATTAAAAATGTAGCTTACGTCAGTGCAATTTTCTTTCTCAGTGTAAGGAATTTAATTAATTGCCATTCTATACATTTAAAATGTGAGAATATAATGTGAGAACACAAAAAATATACATACATATATAATAAGCTGACAGAAAGCAGGTAAATGCATTTCTTGCTGTTAGCTGTGTTAATACGTATATATGTTAATACTTATTATGCACTTTGATCTCTGACTAACAAGTTACCAGTGTCCAGTAGGTGACACTTCAAAACAAGCTTCTGCAGCACTGATTGAATAGATTCAATTTAGTTATTAAGGCCATTTCTTGATTTCATTTGTTGATTTGGACAATTTTAATGATTTTCACTGTAAATGCTTCAGGACTGATTACTGTATTACTCTAGCCAATTACTATAGACAAGAAAAGTAGTGACTGCAGGTAAAAAGTTGCAGGAGTTACGAGTAAAAGTACAGATACATGTTATAAACATTTACTTAAATAAAAGCCCAATTAAAAAAATAAATAAATAAATAAAGTACAATTATAAAAAGAACTACTTAATTACAGTAAATCTGAGTATTTGTAATAGTCACTAAAAACCACACTGAAATTTTTCATTTTTGGATGGTCAGGGATGGTCAGGAATGGTGTTAAATGTTTATTATGTAAATGTTTTAGGTTGCAAGTACTTCTCAAAGTTCAGCTATGTTTGCAATGGGGAAACAACTTAAAAGAGACCTCAAGAAGCGATACAAAGAAAAAAAAAAAAAAGCTCCTGTAATCTGAGATTGACTTGTTTCAAAACACAGAGTTGAGAAGATCAAGGAAAATAACCGTAAGTAATTTTTTAGTACTAAGTAATTTCAAAGGCACTCAAAAAGTTTTGGAATGTTTTGTAGTCTTGTGGAGGACTGTTGTATATAAATATTAATTTGTTAAACGTGACGTGTTTCATAATACAACAGTAATACTAAAATAAAGTGGTATGGTAGAGCCTCTTCTAACCTTCTGTCTGTTTTAACAAATACAGGTGGCATTGGATAGTGACAACAAGAAAATGATGGAGACAAGGTATTGGAGAACAGCCTTTTGCAGTGGAAGTCTTCCCAGAAAACCTGAGTGAGTGAGTCTCCTTCTGCTTCCTCAGAAAGGGTAAGACAAGATTTTATTACAATATTTTTTTAAGCTGCCTTTTTGTGTATTCATGACCCCTTAAATTTAGTACAATAACATAGTTATTACTTGTAATGTTGTATAAATAGTTTATAGTACTCTTTGACATTACAGTGTCAAAGAGGATGTATGATGTATAACAGTGAATAAATCAAGAGTTTCACTTTTTACCAAAGAATTGGCCACATTAATTTTTGGTAAAGAAACTCTTAGGGTGCTTTCACATCTGTAGTTTGCTTCATTTGGTCCGGACCAAGGGTAATAAATGATGCATTGTTGCATTTTCTGCCGTCTTTGGGTCGTTTTCACACCACACTGCTGGCTTTGGTCCGAACCAGTTGAAATGAACCAAAATGCAGTCATCTGACAAAAATCCACATCTCTCATTGGCCAGATGTTGTTGAACATATTTCCTAAACTGCTTATTGATTGGTCAGAATTCACGTGGGGGAAAATGGCAATGAACTACCGCAGGTAAACAAAACCTTTTACTCTGGAGGGACGACTGCGCTGGCTGATTGTATTCCTGCTTTAGACAAACTATACATTACGAAAATGAAACGCGGCCGCGGCTGGAAAACAGTGTTTAATGCATCGCTCGTCACTTCAGGAGGAGACGTGAATTAATTTAGCTAAACTGCGACATGGTCATCTTGCGGTAATATTACCAACGATCCATCAGCTAATGTTTTCCCTCTCTCTCTCTCTCTCTCTTGGTAAAGCGCTGTCAACAAATATTTTTCCTTCATATTCCATAATGCACAGCGCATCGGCCTACGGCAGCTGAATTAGTCCAAAACGCGCAGTACTTTTTGCGGTTGGATCTGTTTTAGTACGGATCATATTCTCACCACAAACGAACCGCTCCAGGGTTGTTTGAAAGCGTACCGAGACCACCTCTTCAAGCAGGTCTCGGTATGCTTATTTGGTCCACTTTTGGTGCGCACTCGAGTACGATTGCTGCATTCTCACCTGCTCAAACGAGCCGTACCAAAAGGGAAAACGAACTCTAGTACGATTCAGTCGAACTAAATAAGGCAGGTGTGAAAGCACCCTTAAAACTCATCTTAAGATGCACCCTTACGGGAAAATCTGGCAATGAAACCTGTAAGGACCAGTTGGACCCTCACAAGGTCAATAGGATGTTTTAGTCCTATACATGATCATTTTTTAAATGTTTTTTTTAATCGTCAAGGGAAACTGAATAAAGCAAAATAATAGTATTCATTAAAATAACTTTTAGTAATTTTGTTTTACATTATTTGACAGTACATATAATTTTTATATTAGAAAATTGTTTTTATATTTAATGATACTTTTCTCTTTCCACAGACACTGTAAAAAAAAAATCCTAAACACCATAGTGTCTGAGGTGTGATCTCTCATCGCAGAAAATGCAACAAAAAATTCCTCCACTTTAAGGATACAGTGAAGCATCAGCTCTATGTTTGGTTTAATGTGTTTTGTTTCGCATGTTTTTTCCTGTTTGATTGCATTTTACTTCACACTGTTGTACTTTGTTATTTGTCAATTGAAAAAGTTGAAAATTACAGTTTTCAAGCATTCAAAATCCATGCATTTATTTGTGTTTGTAATGTACTTTTACAGCATATTTGTAATATAATTTAAATACATTATTCTGAATGATGTTGTTAATTGTTGAAATAAAGTAGGTCTTGTAGTACTCTGCAAATGTATAGAAAGTATAGTAATAACACAATGTAAAATGTTTAATGTAAAGCTTAAAATATTCTTCTACTAGGCTTAAAATATACTTTAACTAGTTTTAAATTGCACTTTAGGTGTGCTTAAATTATACTTCATCACAACTTAAAGTATACTTCAACTGGGCTTATACTACACTTTAATGCACTGCAGCTGGGCTGAAAATACACTTTATCTAAACTTAAAATATACTTTAACTGTGTTTTAAATATACTTTAACTGTATTTCAAGTACATAATTTAAATGTACTTTAAATAAAATACACTTTTAAAAGTACACTTTAATTGTACTCAAAGTATGTCCATTTTAACACAACTAAGTATGTTACAACATATTTTAAGTAGCTTAAATTTAATCTTAAGTATATATAAAGTAACAATAAATATGCTTGAAGTTGTTCCAAAATAACACACTTAATATACACTTAGTATAGTACAATTAAAGTATGATAAGTATGTCTTAAAAAGTAAAACTTAAGTACACTTTCTTTTCACCTGGGTATACACTTGTAATCATGTTTATCTATCTGCACACTACTGATTATTAATAGCAACCTGCACATATATTCATATATTGTAAATCTGTTCATAGCTTATCCAACCTGTATATAATGTTCATAGTACATCCATCTGTAAATATTACTATATTTTTCTATAACTGCACTTTATAACTTATTCCTGTATCCTGCACTTGCTGCTATTGCACTGCTGGTTAGACCTAAACTGCATTTCGTTGCATTGTACTTGTACATGTGTAATGACAATAAAGTTGAATCTAATCTAATCTAATCTAATTTGTTCACATTTGCTGAAGAAATAACATGCTCCTTTTTCCCGGCTTTTTTCCACGCTCCACTCTCGCGTTTGTCCTTTTCTTTCTGAACATGCCATTCTTGCGTTTGTCAGCTTCTCACGGGATCGGGTTTCCAAAGCACGTTAACAATCAACCGCGCGTTATTATTATCAGCTCAATAAGCTTGTTATTCCAGATATAACGTTAGATGTGCGGCGAGCGCAAGTAAGAAAGCGAAACCACTCGCGCGTCAGACTGGCTCATAAAAAAAACTGCGAGGCACAGGGTTGATTCTGCTCTACTCCATGGCTATGTAGCTGGTCATCAGAACGATGATATATGAATATATAATTTCGCTGTAATCTCTCACTGTGTATTTTAAACATGGCGGGTCCTTTGTTTACATTCTGGCTTGTTGTAAGTGAATGACGTATCTCTTCTGTAAACCAATAGCGTTCAGCTGCGCGTCTAGCTCCGCCTTTTGGCACCCTTTCTTGTGTTTGGGACCCTTTCTAAAGGGTCCCGAAAAAGTGGTACGGTTTGGTTTGGTATCGTACCGTACCACTCAGTGGAAACGGGCCATAAAAGGCCTGAAAATACAAATGTGCATAGGCTATATGAGGGATTATACAGGTAAGAAAAGTCAAAAGTGAGATACAAAGTTTACAAAACATAACATTTTAATTCTTGGGCTGATTCAGGATTTCTGAGTCCATTTTCTTTTGTTGGAACAGCCTTGTGTGTGTGTGTGTGTGTGTGTGTGTGTGTGTGTGTGTGTGTGTGTGCTTGGGCAGCAGTGTCTTTGAAGCTCTAGGCACTTCTCTCTGCTAAATCTCTAGATAGCGAAAGGTGTCACGGAGGCAGACTTCGTGGAGCCAGTGGTCGTAAACCGTCCTGTAGACTGAACCCAGCTCCTTTCCCTAAAATCAATTAGTAGTTTTACCCATGGACTGTACGTTACACAGACATGGCCCAAAAGTGCTTGCTATGTGCAAGAGATGATAGACATATTTCACTCCGCATGTAAACGCATCAGCCTTAAGCTACTTTTTTTTTTTTTTTTAATTTCAGGCTATAAGATGGAATTATTTTTTATAGTGCAACACTCATTTTAAAAGGGCTACGTTTTTACTCAAACTTTAAGTATGATTTTTTAAAATACTCTTTCCACAGCAACCAGTGTGTGGTCCTTTTAAGATATTTATTTACTAGTGAACTAGTGTATAACTTTTAAGGTGCAGCATGTAGTTTTGACACCTAGTGGTTGTACTGGGTGTTGAAGTCCAAACTCAAAATTTTGGAGAGGGTTTTTTTTCATCCAGCCTCTTTCTTATGACTTGATACCTACACAGTTTTCTAAATTGGAATGAGCATGGCTGATTATAAGTCAATCATTTATTGTATTGCTATTGTAATAAAGCTGACTGATATTTGTATTGCTTGCAAATAAAAAATAAAAAAACACCTATTGAATTTGGGTCTCATTAGATACATTGTATTCCACCAAGACAATCTGGGGTGGTGAAATATAATTGGATAAAGTAAAAGGCAGACATTCTGACATGGAACGTGCATTTTCAACAGATAATAACGTCTCTGTTACTGTCTCTATTACTCTGTACTGTCGTAACCATTGTTCCCAGTCTGCAGCTCTACAGATGTCTATTAGAGAGGCGGCTCCATCTCGAGATAAGGGAGACTCTGCACAGGGGAGAGTTTGCTCTTTCCCCAGTTGACCAGAAGCCCCAACTGGTTTAGGTGCTAGAGCACCATGTCCCTGTGTAAAATTAACTGATCCCAAGACTAATAAATTAGCCAATCATCAAGATATTTGAGAATATGGATACTTGTGAGCCAAATGGACCACAGAGACAGGCACAGCCTGAAGGGGATGATGTTGAATTACCATGTCCGGATCTTGAACACAAACTGAAGAAACAGTCTGTGGGAAGGGAGAATCAAGGCATGGAAGTTGGCAATCTTTATGTTTGTAGCTGTAAACAAACCCCTATGATGTGAATGTTTGATGTTTAAAGTGATGACGATAAGGTGAAGGTTAAAGAAGAGTATGTTTATGTACTTACCTGAACAAGGCTTGTGCCAATTGATGAGCAGAGTCTGGCACATAAAGAGATACACC